CCGTGCCCCTTTAAGGGCTCCGGGGCTGGGAGGGGGGCAGAAGAGTTTCCCTGGTGGTGCCCAGAGTGGCCACCAGGGAAAGCTGGGGAGGGCTAGCCTCCCACTAGTTCAAATTAAGTGGCCACACAGCCCTTAATTCGAACTAGTTAATTCGAACTAGGCGATAGTCCTCGTAGAATGAGGTTTACCTAGTTCAAATTAAGCGCTCCGCTAGTTCGAATTAAGTTCGAACTAGCGGTTTGCTAGTGTAGCGCCTATCCACGTTAATTTGAACTAACGTCTGTTAGTTCGAATTAACTTTGTAGTGTAGACATACCCTTATTGCCTCTGTATAAAACCATGGGATGCCCTCAGCTTGAATACTGCAGACAGATGGAGTTGCCTCATCTCCAAAAAGATATCTTGCATTGGAAAAGGTTCAGAAATGGGCAAAAAAAAAATGACCAGGGGTTTGGAACAGGTCCCATGTGAAGAGAGATTAAAGAGACTGGGACTTTTCACCTTAGAAAAGAGGAGACTGAGGGGGGATGTGACAGAGGTCTATACAATCATGAGAGGTGTGGAAAAAGTGAATAAGGAAAAGTTATTTACTTGTTCCCACAATATAAGTGGGACGAGGAGTCACCAAATGAAATTCGTAGGCAGCAGGTTTAAAGAACAAACCAAAGGAAGTTTTTCTTCACTGAGTGCACAGTCAACCTGTGGAACTCCTTGCCTGAGGATGTTGTGAAGACCAGGACTTTAACAGGGTTCAAAAAAAGCTAGATAAATTCATGGAGATTGTGTCCATCAATGGCTATTAGCCAGGCTGGGTAGGGATGGTGTCCCTAGTCTCTGCTTGTCTGGAAATGGGTGACGAGAAGGATCACGTGAGGATTCCCTGTTGTGATCCCTCCCTCTGGGGCACCGGGCATTGGCCCCTGTGGGCAGACAGGACACTGGGCTGGATGGACCTTTGGTCTGGCCCAGTCTGGCCATTCCTATGTTGACCCAGGCTGACCGTCCCTCGGATGGAAATCTGGGGTAAGGCAACTGATTTCAAGCCTGGGTTTTGCACCAGTGTAACTGTAACGGGTGGCCTGGATGGCCTAGTGGTGAGAGCACATGGCGCCTGGCCCCCTGCTTGGTTGTGGGGCCTCAGTCTCTAAGGTCACGGTGAGGTTGGGGGGAGGGGACCCAGGCCTTCCCCCTCCATCGAGTTCCAGGCCAGGGCCCGGTGTGTGTTGCTCCAGGAATAGGGGCAGCCAACCAGTCTCAATGTGCCGCCCTCGGTGTCCCCCTATCAGGGTCTGTTGGCTGTGGGGCCTGGCCCCTCTCCTGGGCGGCCGGGCTGCCAGCCACCCTCCCCGCAGTGCTAGGCTCCTTCGGCAGGCGGCCGCCC